CCAGGACCCCGATTCCACCGTGTACATTGAAGTCCTTTATGGAAACCATTCCAAATAGGTCTTCACAGCTTGAATGCAAGGGGGGGGGGGGGGGGTAGAGACACGATTGATCGCAAACATACAATGTCTCTACTGGGGTGGAATAAATGACCAAAGCAAAGAGCTCATTAACTGATTCCTTCTATATTTAGATCTGAAAAGGTTGGGGGTGGGGAAAAAAGAAGAAATTATTTCTTTCTTTTTGTGGAATTTATTCTCTGGGTATTGAAGTGAGTAGTTACTACATGTAATGCTGTCCTCACACTCCAGAGCAGAGGGCCCATGTTTTAAAGAGAAAACTTGTGATTGATACGAATCAATCACAAGTTTGCAGTCTACTACAGTACATGTACAGTATCTCTTATGTTCATACCGGTAGTTGCAATTGATAGCAATCGCAAATAAGTTGCAAACTTACTTTCTATCAGGCTTACCGTATATGATTATTTCATGCTCTTAAAAAAATTATTTTAAGACAGTACATGTAATACACTGTACAAAATAAACATGGACATTGTAGCCATTTGTAGGCCCTTCATCTACTTTTGCACATTTTTGCAAACTTTATGTCCTACATGTACGGTCCTACAGCGTACAGGTATGTGTACTTATGGAGCAATCTTCTTTCTTTTTCTCATTGCAGGAATACATGTAAACTGAGAAGAGAACAGTAGTCTGTACAAACTGTGCATGTATAGATGGGCCTACATGAATATGTATTTCTATCAATCTTGAGCAAAGTCAATACACTATTCAAAGAAAACTTGGACAATGGATCATGCATACACTTTAACTTGGTACTCATTCTGTTCAGCCACAAGATTTAATTGCTACAGTTTGCTATAAAACCATACATTATAAACGATGAAAGAAGTTGAAGTGGCCATCTTCTAGTATACGACTGCACTTTCTAGACTGAAGACACTTGCTCCAATGCATGAAAGGAACTTATTTGGATGGAATGAGTTGAGATTGCCTTCAGGGCAAACTTGTTCATGCGGAATAACCACAACAGAGGCCGATGAGTTTCCTATGTGATTTAAATCAATGTTAGAGGGTCCATCAATGAACATGCAGTGGTGATTTACTTTTCTTTTCTCCCCCCCCCCTCTTTTTTTATTATTTAAACACAGCCTTGGGAAGCTGTAGAACTACTCGTAAGATAGGCAGCTGTAGTATGCAAAACCAAACGTTGAAATCACATCAAGAATGCGTGTACAATGTACATATGGACAGTATGAGTAGGTCTAAAGTGAGAATAACTCCTTCCAATCGAAACAAAAACTCTATATGAATTTGTAGTTTGTAATTCTTCTAAAGTTCTAATGTGAGTAAGGTATATGCTACATGGTACACATGTAAATACTTACAGATACTGTACAACATGTACATGTAGGCCTGTAACTGATCATCGGATCGGGGGCCAAACTTGAGCCGATCAGGGGAGAAAGGATAATAATTTCTGATCACCGATCAATAAAAATGATCGGAAAAAAATGGGCACAATTTTTTTTTTAATGCCGAAAATTGTCAAGTGTTTGGCTTTCAAATGCTTTAAAAAAATGCATAGCTGGGATTATTTTGTCATTTGGAGTTGTTGTAGACCAGGTTTGTTGATATTTAGTGGCAAAACATATGGGCCGCCAGCTAGCTAACTACTGTACATGTACAATGTACATGGTACAAGTATATTGACACAGGTACATGTAGCTAAAAGTAAAACAATAGGCTTGCATTGTGTTGTTTATTGTGCCACATGGTTTATGGGCACAGATTGTACAGTAATTGCACCAAATACAATGTACATACACAGAGTAAACTTGACAGTTTATTGATATATGATTACTGTATGTCATGGTGTGTGTCCTGTGCAATGCAATATGAAGTTCAAAGGAAACTTTTTGACAGTTCTTTTAATTTTTTTTTACATTTAAAACTTAATCCATTTAATTATTGATGAAAAATGTTTTTCCTTTCCACAATGGTCCATTGGACTGTGGTACATGAAATAATAATTGATCTACACCGTTCTAGCACAAACACAGCACTACCTGCATTTCACCATTAATATTCTACAGGACACAGGATTGTGTGAAGAAGAACAAGAAAATGTGGCAGTATTGAAGGGTATGATGTACCCATATTGTAACCAGCATCATTGACCATGCCTTATCATCTAGGCTTAACGATTTTTCTTTCAACGCCTCCATGTATAAATATGTACACTGTACTGTAAATCTGTAGCCCTGCAGTGAATGTACATATATATGTAAAAAGTATTACATGAATGTGGGTCTACATTTCCCCACTTACAGTACCTTATATTGACTGATAATCCATACAATAAGCTATGTACAATGTATAAATGTACAGTAATGTTCCTATCATGCGTGGAGGCACATTCTCCCCAAACAAAATTAGCTACATGTACATGTACATGTAGATGGGAGAAATGACCTGGATAAGAAAAGCATAGATGCCTCAATCATTAAATACTCCAGCCCGACATATATTCAAATGACAAAGAGTGGAGAGACAGACCCGCACCGCCGACCATAGGTCCACACCTTGGTTATTATGCGGGACCAAACAATGCTTTTAATGAAGCCCACTGACAGTAATACCTTCTACCAATTGACATTACTTCACTCAGGTATTCCAACCCCTTCTTTTTATCCGTGATTCTGCTCAAACATCGTTGGACCGACCGACAAGAAGAATCAATAATGGATGAATAGGACCTCACTACCTCTTCATCTCTGATGAGGGGGTAGGATAAATGAATATTTAACGGGACAAGTCTTTGTATGAATAAGAAGGTATTCTTTGTGTGGCAGTTGATGGATTAGACCCCCCCCCCCCCCATTTAATTTGATCGTAAAGCCCACTGTTCATTGTTTTAATAACCTTTAGATATTTGAAATTTATGAAAAATATACATGAGCTCAATTAAAGAATCAAAAGAATATGTACAATCCCACAAAATAAATCTGGCTGGGTTTTAAAACTTTTAACTTTACAAAGCACAATTTCATTTGATTTTGTACTCCAAAATGTTGTACTCTGAAAAACAATACAGTAGACCTGCATGTACAGTACATGTAGTATGTACCTGTACTTTTAAAAAATTGTATTAGAAACAAAGCTGGCTTTTCTCTAGAACTGCAATGACAATTGTTACACTTGTAAACAGTTAAAATATTCACGTAGTACAAGAACAGTCAAATGTAACTAAACAAAAATAGGAGATAAAATATAAGATGTCTTTTCAGATGCTATTAATTTCTATCCAGTCAAGTTGGTTTGGAGTCACATCACTCAGATTTCAGCAATCTATTTAATATGAAAGGATCTACACAGTGTCCTGTATTAAAATGTAAGCTTTTAAGCTCAACCCCTCTGAACTACATGTAAATGTAGTTATAATGTCAGTTTTTCTCAAGAAAAAAAGCATTAACATTATTAAGTATCATGATTCATGACTTATCCAAACTTGGGAAATCTTGTTTGAAAATCAATTTCTACATTATACATGTATATGTACATCATCTACTATCAAAATTGATTAATGTCACTTCAAGATAATTTCCCTAAAACTTCCCAAAAAATTTAAAATATGACAGCTAGTGTAAAGTTCACTCAGAGGGAATTTTGACAGAAGACAGTGGATAGAGTATCAAAACATTCAGTACAAGTGTACAAAATGTAGATCATTCTTTATCCAGCTACCAAATGGGTTAGTTTTCATTCAAATTTTCACATTCCTACCAATTTCACTTATGTTTCATTCCAAACTGAAATTTGCATTGAATATACTAATCTAATTCAAATTCCACATTAACCTGCAGCATTATTATAAGTTTAAACATAGAGTCGAATACGTAAAGGTTAAAGCATCTACACTGTATTTGTCCTATCTGAATTGGTTCAACCATACCAAGCTGGCTGGCTGGACACACCCCTCCCCAAGTTCAAACTAAATAAATCATCATTTTCTACATTATTGTCACTTTCTCACCCTGCATTATATTATTTCTATCATTCTCAAATGCATGCTGTATTGTAGGGCCTTGTATAGTCTATATAGCAAACAGTTATTTCCCCCAAGGAGAAAATGTCTCGATTTTCTTCACATTTTATCTGTATCGATAAGTATTCTGTAGTATGTAACCAATAAAGAAAATCACTAACTGTAGCTCATGTATACCACAACAATATTTTGTATCACATTATTCACATTCAACACATAATTTAATCCAAATTCCAAGGTGTCTTTGATTAATTGATTTCATAACATGATTTGATAACATAAATTTCTCAGTTGCTTTCCCTATCAGTATCACTCTAATATCCATGTACAGCTGAGCATAAAATTGCAATTTAAAAAAAGAAGAAAAATTATCTCTTAACTTGAAATACATCGAGTAAAAAAAACACAGGGAATTGGACAGTGTCTCCTGGACTGGCAAGTTTGCTGGCATCCCATTTGAAACATGTTTGATTTTGCAAAATAAGCGGGATATCGGCAAACATATTATTATGTGACCTTTAATATTATAGTCTAGGCCTCTAGTCCTCTACTACAATATTTTGGCATGATTATAACAAATATTTCAAGTCCTATATTACTATTATTAGAAATATGCTAATCTGACAATCCATATTTTTTCTTGAACTTTGAAATTGAAGTTGAAGTTTGTGTAGGGTCTTTGATAATAAACTATTAAAAAAAACATTCAAATCCAATATTTATAATTCATATCAAAAAAATGATACAGAAAAATATGTTGGTAACTTCCGGTGGCATCCAAAGAATTTTTTGGAAATAAATCAAGGGCATCATGAAGATCTAGATCTGCACTCGTCATTCACACAGTAAACACTCATACTCGGGCATCTATAGCAGAACTTCAATGGCAATATGCAATGCCATGCAGCGGCTGAACTAGGGGCATACTCACATGTGCACTAAGGCACGTCGAATGACATCTTGCTGAAATCGTATTTCCATCGCCAAAAATTGGCATTAAGAATGTCACTGTCCATAATAATGATAATTGATAAGTAGTTCTGTGTTGCATATTTTCCTCGATGAATCCCGTTCATCAAATTGGCCGATTTGGCCTAAAAATCCTCTGAGATATATTCCATTCCTGGCAAAAGATATCGACACATCGCTGGTATAGCACGCGTAAACGTAATTGTAGTGCAATTCATGTACACAATACGACCGTGTATATAATATGCATATAGCGCTAGCCCAGTACAGTACGATACGGTGGTGGATATTATCTGGCTTCATTCAGCTAGAGCTTTCATAGCTCGGCGCGGCTCATGCATCTAGCGGTTTACCTTTGGACGACTCCATTATAAAATAGGGTACATATCAATATCAATTTGTAATTATACTTTATTTAAGTGACATTGGAATTGAAATATAACTAAAATGATATGATTTTATGTTTTTAAAATATATTGACTAAGGATGAATATATATCATATTGTTTTAATTCACCTAATGGTTGACTATTCATCTTTCCCCCTAAAAATGAATCGATTCGTCAAAATAATCGGATTGCGTTTTACGTCCGAACGAAACGGTGGATTCCTTCTTATGAAGACAGGTGAATAGAGCTGTCTTTAATCCTCTTTTCTTTTTCTACCGCAGAAACTTCTTTCACAGCCGCAGTCCGAAGCACATCCTTTCATATGTTAACCCAGGGAGGTGAGACTTTAAATGGAGATTCCGTCTCGAAAGAATTTCCCGAGGGAAAGATATTCAAGACTAACTTGGCTTAACAACAAGTAATGTAACCCTCTTCAGCCATCAAATCCATCAACAGCCGCCCTTATCAGACCACAGATGCCCTCTGGCGATCCAAATGTTACGAAGTGTTACGCAACGCGGCCTGCTTCCCTAAGCTCTCCAAACACTTGGTCGTAAAAAAAAGGCTTTGAAGCCATGCGAGTCACCGAGAAAATGACGTCATACTCATTGAAGATGTATATAGCTATAACAGACAAAAATACAAAATCGACAACTTATGGCACAAGGCAACCTGCTATTGGTTATCAAATGCTTTCGCTGTGCTCGGATAACTCTTCTGAAGACGTAGCCATCTGAACCAGCGAAATCGACCAAGGAAATCGTTAGTTAGAGTGAATGCAAGTTTCTCATCATCATCACGTTCTCTTCTAATTATTGACATTTTCCGAAAGTTTCCGAAATTTTTACATAGCTAGGAAGGTAGTCCATAAGTTTATCTCTTAAAATAACTAAATGAAACTGTGTTGTATAATTGCGCATTTGGTTTAATGAGGGTTAGAAGTTGTCAATTCATCACCACTTTTCACCCCGAGTACGGGCCGGCGACGCGAAAGCCGCCGTGCTCGCTGGGCTGTACATGCTGGATGTTGTTGGTGGAAACACACATAGCTGCATTTCTACCCTGGCCGTGTATTGAAAGTTGTGCTATTGATTCTCAACATTTCAAACACCACTGTACAAAACTCAACTGATTTCATTCAAAGGCAGTACTATAGTGACGATTGATGACACCTAAAGAGCATTAAAATACAATTTGTTCAAATTTCTGATGTTAGAAAGAATAATTTAAAAATTAAAATTGTGAGTCTACTGTCAAACTTGCCGATCAACCGCATCGGGATGATTATGTGCATTTGTACTGTATGTTGTGAGTGTATTGACTATTCATGTATTCAAATGCTGCCTATTTACATGGAGCGGCCTACGCATTCACGATGAAACCATTTAACCGTACATTCTGGTTCGCTGCAACAAATAAGATTTTCCGTTGATGGAATTTCACACGTGCATAACTTGTATTGGTCTCCAACTTCCCATACACCAGGCTCAAGAAAATCTTCCTCAAAATCAGTCAGAAAGTCTAAATCGTCGCCTACCAAATACTCTTCCCTACTGTACGCCGCCATTTTTGTCGATAGCAGCCGATGTGTATTTCCAACAATGCATTTCGCGAGCCCTATGTCACTCAGTTTCGGGAGTGAGATTTACGAGCTGTGCGGTCCGGGTGGGGGATTAACGGGATTATGATAGGGGGAAAAAAGACTCTCGGTGCAACGGACTGCTTCAAAGGGCCCTCTTAGATGCGGAATCCATTTATTACAAGCCCTGGTTAACCAGAGAATAAACTGTAAATCCACAAAGAATTCCATCGAGCTTTGTGTTCCTTTTATTTCGCAATGCAAAGCCAAAGCTCCTTGCTTAGATCCTTTAATAATGCATCGAAAGATTGAACACTGATATATCTCTATTCTATAGGATATTAGCTAGCGAAAAAGCGCGCTTTTCTTTTCAATTGATACAAGAGATACATTAGGTATAAGATATAAGTAGGAGGAAATATAGTTCTGCGATCCATGTACAGCACTGGCTGGGCATATATCGTCTTCTGCAATGGATTTGCTAGACTCCCCAGATTCTTTTGGATCATTTTGTCTTCTTTTTCTGCATCAATAGAAAATCAATCAAGGAACGAAGTTCATTTAATTACCCAATTCCCAATTCCTCAGTGTATAACTGAAAGCGAATGACATCTTCAAGATGGGGAGATTATTGGGTCCTTTTATGTTCGGCGGACAAAATCTTTAATCCGATAAGCAAATACAACACATTTGCGACCTCCCTCCGGATATTGTATTTGAACAATTGGTAAGTCCAGCAGTTGGACAAGAAATGCAGATCAGTTGTAGAGATAGGTAGAGAGGGAGTAGAATTAACACCCTCCCGTTTTCATGTATTTTATTGCTGTTCTTCAACTTGTAGTAAAATTCTTGCTTTCGCCCTTTTCAGTTGTGTTGAAAGTACAATGGCTTTGCTAAAAAAAATATGGTAAATTTTCGTCACAGAAATTGATTACACCGCCTGTTTAAAAGAAAAAAAAGGGGCGGACAGGGAAGGCGGAGAGGGGGGGGGGGGGGGGTAAATGGCCCTTGCTTCTATTTCTTTTCTTTCTTTCTCCCCCACCCCCCCCCCCCTCCTTCCTTACCCTTTTAGCGTGGATGGGGAGGATGGAGGAGATAGGATGGGAACTAAATGCTGCCCCGGCCCCAGCACCCCTCTTTCTAGCCTGACAAAACCAGTTCAAGTTGACTTTAGTCATTCGGCCACAGTGTGATTTATCAGGATGGTTATGAACTTTCTAATGATATTACATTTTGACAAACAATAAATGTGCATGTTTGGGTAATTAATATGTTTGGATAATTGATAGTGAAATTGCATTTAGCTTGAACATTTTTATCTACTTTCAAGAGAACAATATGAAATTAATAATGGAATGGGGAGAATGTGGAGGCTTAAACCTACGAAAATGATTGGGAAAATGATATATAAACAATTAATATGATTTTATATCATAGCTCAGGTATAAATTATTTTGTAATATATATGAATGTACTTTGAAAACTGGTCACCATGAAGTTTGCATATGAATTAAAATTGAAAATCTAAGTAATATTAAATCATCAATACATTTTATTTATTTATTTATTTATTTATTTATTTATTTATTTATTTATTTATCTATCTATCAATTTACTACTTGTGGAATGGAACGCCCGTGATTAGCACGAACGTTGTTATCCTTAAAGTAAAATCTAACCTTGAGAGCAAATAACTCTTGAAGAGAGCAACACAAATCAAAGGAGCATACTGGCGAAAGTTTTAATGAAATCGGACATAATATGAGAAAGTTATACATTTTTGAAAGTTGCAATCACCATAGGTATGGGCTCTTCAAATTGGTTGAATCGGTAATGTTTCTGTGATGTGGTGGCGGACAACTTTCCTATTTGTTCCAGCACAGAAAATGATTAAAATCTCAATTTTTCTAAAGTGTATGACTCGGGATGACCTGTACTAATATTCTCGTCATAATACTCTTCATATCGTAGTGCCCCAAAGGCACTTAGGAGAAGGCACTTGGGAGAATAACGGAAATTAGTAATATTTGGGTACACGACAAACGGGAGTATTATCCGCCACTATACACTCTAAATGAAAACTGCTCAATGTTGAGTAAAATGTTACTTTTTTCAGTAGAATAAAGGGAACCGCTCAACTTTTGAGTAAAATACACTCAATTTGTATTGAGTAACAAATCTACGCATCTATTGAGTAAAAACATGTACTATTATAAAACTATACGTCACAATCCACTGACAAATTCGCTAATTTGAGATTCTCATAGTTGTAGTAAACTCATATTTAAAACATATATACTTTTCTTATTATTGGTCCGATTTATTTCAAACTTTCGCCATTACTTTTCTCTTACTATCTACTTTCATTCAAATGAACTTATTTAAAGGGGCAAATTGCCATTTAATGATCCATTCATTGTGAATAGTATAGCCTATATTTAAATAACGACATCCTTGTGAAGTTTTACCCGTACTTTTGTTTTCTTCTTCTCAGGGACATTCTGTAGAGCTATGCTGACTTCAGAATCTTATACACGGACCAAAACTACAGCAAAAATTCACCTGGAAATTACTAAAATGATTTAAAGGGAATATAGCTAAAAGCATTCCATGAAATTCAAAGCAGTTCAAGTGATTCTTTATTTCCATCACCCAACAGTTACCAATCGGTACATAAACAATTGATGTATATTTAAAATCGCTCTAATATTCAATACACTTTGCAATATTATTGTATTGATAGAAATTATTAGACAATATATTTATTCCATTATTCAGTATTCACAGTGGATATTAATGTACCATATTTAGTTTCCCTTCTTAAGTGTCGGCCTGCAACTTGGTTCTACCATGCATGCATATATACTTTGCAAATATGATGATGGGTGAAAAGACTTAAAAGGAGGGGAGTGTGTTTGATAAGCCAAACAGCCACAAAGTCTTATTGGATTTAAAAAGACAAATGACGTAAAACATGCACGCCGCTGATGTATTT